ATAGAATTCTTACACATATTTATCTCCAGTTGCTTTGAACCACTTGCCTATGGGGCCTTTGTCTGTTATCTGTTCTCTTGAGTTATTGCAATTTATTCTGTTTTTAAACCTCTTTCTTAATTTTTGATTGAATGCAGGAATATTGTGATGAAAAAATATTTAAGGTTTTGGTTGATGTTATTTTCTTTCAAGGGATTTTTGGGGAAGTGGGCAGATAAAGTACCAGCAGATTACTTTTGATGCCTATCAAAGATTAGTTTTAGCGCTTTGTTAGGACTAGCCCATTTAAGGTTTGATCTTTCTCCAAGAACATAGTCCTTAAACCATAAGATATGTTCTGTCTTCATATGTTCAGGGATTTTCTTATGTGTCAGCCTGAAATCATGAGTGTTTATAAGAACCTTCTTTTTTGTTGGGCATAAACTCCATTGCTTTTCTCAGAACAATATAACCACTGAAATGACTGCTCAATGTTGAGCTTTTTGGCCAGCTATTTCCTACAAGTAGCCCTGAGGTGCTTCTCCTCTTGCATGTATCAGCTTAGAATAAGCCAGTGACATTAGGGAATTCATATATAAAATTTTATAATTAACTTGTCTGGTTTCTTTAGTTCTGAAACTTTGCCCTTTGAGCTCCACCTGGTTTGATAGTCTTGAACCAGTAAGACTGACACTTCGTTCAGCCTCAGTAACCCTGCACTGATAAAATGGAAAATGTCCCAAGTAAAAAGCCATAGCAAATATATCAACTCATGTCCTGTTTTGTGTTCATCAAGGATTATAGTCCTCTTGTCCTGTTTATGTTGTTTACTGTTTCCAAGTCTAGTCTTCAGTTGTTTCCTATATTTTGTTAAGATTTTATTATTGTTTCCAATGGGAGGATTGTTCCAAAGATATGAGAGAATTTCAAGAAGTTTGTGGAAAAAATGGAATTAAACAATTAAAAAAAAAAATGTTGCCTCAACATAAGCCCTTTCAAGTTCAAGACACTTTTATAAGCAGTGATAAAAGCAATTTCATCCCTCACTAAGAAACTGAAGGTCTGGGAATTTAGCCATGTAGATACAGTCTTTTTACATTATTAACTAAAGAAAAATGGGTGCCCTTCACAGATTTTTTAAGATAAGGAAACAAAAGTCAGAAGGAGCCAAATCAGGATTCTAAGGTGGATGCCTAGTGATTCCCCATTGAAACTCTTTCAAATTTGCCCTTACTTGATGAGAGGAATGGGCAAAGTCATTGCCATGGTGGAGGAGGACTGTCTGGTGAAGCTTTCATGGGTGTTTTCCTGCTAAAGCTATGGCTGACTTTCTCAGAGCACTACAGTAATAAGCAGATGTTATCATTCTTTGGTCTTCCAGAAAGTCAACAAGCAAAACACCTCGAGCCTCAAAAAACTGTCGCCATGGCCTTTGCTTTTGACCAATCTGCTTTTGCTTTGACTGGACCACTTCTGCCTCTTGGTAGCCATTGCTTTGATTCTGCTTTGTCTTCAGGATCACGCTGGTAAAGCCGTGTTTCCTCTCCTGTTACAGTTCTTTGAGGATATGCTTCAGAATCTTGATCTTACTTGTTTAAAATCTCCATTGAAAGTTCTTCTCTTTTCTGCAGCTGATCTTGATGCATCCCCTCAAGTGGAGAATTTGCTCAACTTTCATTTTTCAGTCAGAATTGTGTAAGCTGAACCAATTGAGATGTCTTTGGTGTCTTCTCTTCTTTGATTCACTACAAATATTTAGATGAGTATTTCTTTTTATCGTTTTAGGATTTGTTAGACTCCCTGGATCTGAGGATTGTTGTCTTTCAAGATCTCTGGAAAATTCAATCTTTTATTTCAATAATAGCTCTCCCACAATCTTTCTGTTCCATCTCTGTGAACCTCAGATCAGATGTGTCTTAGGTCTTCTCACTATACGCTCTATGTCATCTATCCTTTTTCATATTTTCCATCATTTTTTCGATTTTAGACTAAATTATGGATAATTTCCCCTACTCCAGATCCAGCTTGGTAATTCTTTCTTCAACTTTAATCTTCTATTTAGTCTCTTCAATAATTTTTTTGAATTATTTTATTTCAATTATTTTTTTTCTCGTTTTATTTGATTCTTTTTATAAATACAATTATTTTCTGTTCAAGTTTCTAGTTTCTATTTTATTTTTCAAATGTACAAAACATAGCTATTCTATATTCTGTGACTAGTAATTCATGCCTGTTTCTGATTCTCTTGTTTGTAATGGCTCTCTTTCATTGTGCTTTATTTCCTGAGTGTTATGTGATTTTAAAAATTATTAATGTGAGCTTCTCCTTTTGTGTGAATTTTTGTCCTAGAAATTATTTCTAGACACATTAAAGTTAAATTTCTCTAGAAAAGATATGCGTGTGCATCTTCCAATTGAATACATTAGCAAATTGGGACCACCTCAAATTATTTGCTAAGGATTTTTCAATCCACAGACATAGCATGAATTAATATTGCAAACCTACATGGAAAACTGGTTTGTGGTTATTCATTCTCATTGATCTTTCTCCCCTTCATCTTTCAGCAGGGTCAAGATAAGCAAATTGCATTGATTTCTTGCGTGATACGAATTTACTAACTATTTACCTTTACCCTGTTGGAATACCCCTTTGGTGTCTGAGCTTTGTGCCGGGATGTCACTTTAAATTACATTCTTTATGTGAGCTTGGTCCTAATGTCCTAGGCTGGAAACCCCATAGAGTCACTCCCCATACATTCTCCAGGGTTTTGTGGAAGCATTGTGGTGGCAGCCAGCTTTCATGCTTGCTTCCTTCAATGTTTCCTGCTTTTAGTTTGTTTCTGGCTTTGTGTACTCTTTAATATCATCTCAGTGATGAATTTATAATATTTTGTGTATATATGTTGTTTGCATCAGTAGTATGTTTTGGGACATTCATCTACATTTCTAGAACTAAAACATTATTTTTAACACCTTATTAAAGTTAGATATTTGCATGTGTGGTTATATATCAGTATATCATAAATGTACAGCTTGATACATTTTTACAAACTGAACACAACCTTGGGCCAGCACCTAAATTGATTAAGAGAACATTACCAGTGACCCAGAAGTCTCCTTTGTGTTCCTCTCTAGTCACTACCTGGCCCAAGAGTAAATATTATTCTGAGTCTTAGTATCAAATATTAGTTTCACCTGTTTTTATATTTATGTAAATATAACAATATAGTATGTACTCTCTTGTTTCTGGCTTAGTTCACTACAATATGTTGGTGAGATTCAGCTATATTGTGAAAAATGCAAATCATTCATTCTCATTGCTGTACCATATTTCATTGTGAATATGCCACAATTTATTTAAACATTCTACTGTTGATGGTACCCAGCTGATAGAGAGCAGGGTGGATTAGAGCTGAGAAGGCAGGGAGGGTAGGATTTGAGTAGTTTCCAGTTTTAGACTATATTGGATGGTGATGCTTTGAGGATTCCATTGTCCTTCATAAAAATGTGTATATTGGGTGCACAACCTAAGAGTGGTATTACTGAATAGTCTTATTTTGCGTTTCAAAATGATACTTGTAACATTTTCAAAATACAAAGTGTCTAAAGAAAAAAATTACTGCTCAACCCTCCCCCACTTCCTGAAGCAGCGAAATTTGTCCTTATGTTTTCTGTGCTTAGGTAAACATAAACACGCAATTACAGTTTTTTTCCCTGCAAAAAGTAGCGTCATACTTTTATTGCTGAAAATGTACATTAAGACAATTTCTCAAGGTATGAATTGAGCTCATTTTAAAGAATTGCATATTTTTAATATGGATTTTTAGTTGTTCATTTATTCACATGTTGTGGAATATTTACCAAACTTAGTATCTCAAAAATTATTTGAATACTTTCAGGATTTCATGGCAGTCTTCATTACTCAGAGCTACTCCAAGCACAACATTAGAAAGGAAAACAAACTCAAGGGGAAGTAGAAATAAGAAAGGATCCAGGATTTAAAATTGAGCTTGTAATGTGGTGTCTGAGACTGAGAAAGAGGAGATGGAACCAGCTCAAAATTTGAGGAAGCAGCCAGACAGGGTGGCTTATACCTGTAATCCCAGTACTTTGGGAGGGGAAGCAGGAGGATCACTTGAGCCCAGGACTTCAAGACCAGCCTGGGCAACAAAGTGAGACCCCATCTCTACAAAAAAAAAAAAAACCAAAAAACAAAAAACTCCCTGGGCATGATGGCACAGGCATCTGTAGTCCCAACTACAGGGGAGGCTGAGGTGGGCGGATCCATTGACCCGAGAGGTGGAGGTTGCTGTGGACCTCGCTCCATCGCACTCCAGCACAAGACCCTGTCTCAAAAAAAAAAAAAAAAAAAAAAAAGTAAAATTTGAGGAAGCATTAAAACAAAAGAGCATGAAGGAAGGAGAAAACTTACAGCACAAGAAGTTTGTAGTTTGATCCATTTTGTGCGTTAGGCTGCTGTTTGTTTTGTTGAGGAATGATTCTAAGGATTTTCTTACTCCATTTCATCCATCCATCCAGTGGACATTACAGAGCACCTGTTTGTGATCTAGGTGAAGTGGGGGAATAGAAAGAATAAAATACAGTTCTTAACCTATGCTTCCTCTAGTTGGTGCAGTTGAAATGAAACCGTTAATTTATACGGGATGTCGTACCCCGTCCTCTTCACCTCTGAAGCCACGTTCCCCTGGAAGGTCCACTCTGGACACTACACTTTTGTAGTAGGGGAGAAGGCTTTGTGATGGTCTCTTCCTGAGAACAGTTTGGTCCCAGGACAACCCTTCCTTAGGTACCCAGCAAACAGGGGCCAGGGCAGTGAGGGGTGAGGAATCTGGAGACAGGACAGGGGCCATGCAAATCTCCCTGGGTCCCTGGGGACCAGCCATAAAAAGAGACTCCAGGTTTTACAGCTGAGCTCTCCAGGTTAGATAAGCAGATGCGAGTGCAGGACCTGGTCAGGCATAAAGCCAGTTCCTGGTTCCATGGTAAGGTCTCCTGTTCCACTCAAATAACATGGATCAGAATTAGGAACAAAGTTCAAGAACCCTTTCCACAGAGAGAAATCATATTTGTTGAGAAGCCGCTGCCAGCCGCTTGTGCGAGGATATTTCATGTCGTGTTTTAGTTGATTAAATTTATTTTTATTACAAAATAATACGTGTGACTGTTGAAACGCTAATGAGGTGTATCAAGAAAAAAATAACAAGTAATCCACTTTCCTGTTTGAAGTAACTGGTTCAAGTAGTCTGTCTTCCGTACAATTTCTGTGTTTATATAAGTACATATGAACAGTTTTGAAGTTTTTTTACACAAAATGGAACGTTTTTTACTATGTTAAATGTTTATTTTAAAAATAGTATATAAACATATATATAGATAGAGGCAATATATAAGTAGATTTATGTAAGTAGATTTAACCCATCCTTGGAAATAGTTGCATATTATTTTATATAGAGATCGTCATTATTTATCTATCGCTCCCTTGTTAATAGTCTCAACGATTTACTTTGAAACAAATGGTCTGCCGCACCCTCGGGGCGGGCGCCTGGGCCTCTATCCCGGATCTGGGGCTGCATCTTGAGGTAGAAACTGACACAAAGCGGGGCCTCAGCGGTCCGGGGGCGGCGGCCAAGCTCCGCCCCCACCCGCGGCAGCCAATCAGCTCCCGGGGACGCTCCCACCCCCACAGTCTGCACTGCAGCCCACCTCCCCCCACACGCCTCTTCCCAGCCACTTCACTACCAATTTGCAAATCCCCAAGGCGTCTGCCCCGGCGCCTTCCCCCACCTCTGTGGAAGACTCCCCTACTCCGAAGTAGCCCGGTGTGGAAATTGCTGGACGAAAGGGTGAGTCTTGTCCAAAGCTGGTTTCTGGGACTAGAGCAGGCCCGGGCACACAGACCAATTCAGGGGCGGCTCCCGATGCAGTCCGCTGAGGTGCGGGTGGGAGGAGGAGGCTCGGTCGGGCTCCCTGGGGAGTGCGGCCGAGGGGGCGCACGCTGGGCTGCCAAAGTGGTCGCGTTTTGGGCCTGAGACTCGTTGGGTTTTGGGTCCAGGGAGATAGATGTCTTTCAAAGAGGGTTCCCTACGCTTCTCCATTGCTGTTTCTGTTTCAGCTTCTTTCTACCCGTCTCTTATTTCTTTCGTACTGCATTTCTTCTCCAGGAACCTAACCAGCAAGTCTGCCCCTTATAAACATGTTTTATTGTGAAATATATTTCAAAGCTACGCACAAAAGATAATATGACAGATTTATTATATGCTGACATTTTATCACCTTTGCTTCAGCACTCCCTCTCTTCCTCCACCCCCCTTTCTTTCTAAGAAATAAAACAATTAAAACCTCTTCCCCCCCACCAAATCTCATGCCCCCATCCTCCGAGGTAAGTTAGCTTGCATCCCTTCCCTTGTGTATTTCGTCCTTTATAATTAATGTTTATTTTTAGGTAACCAATATATGCGTTTTTGTTCTGAATTTAAAATTTTTGCACGAGATTCAGTATTACAGGGTTTTAACCTGTGGTGCTGTTAGTCCTGACATTGCAGACCCGGAAGGGACTTAGTGGGTGCCAGTCACCAGCCCATCTCATTTAGCTGAAAAATCTGAACGCTGAAGAAAATAAAAGATGTGTTCACTGTCTCTCAGGTGGCCCGTGACTTGGCAGGATCCTGAATTCAGGTTCTCTTGATCTCTCTCCCTGCCATTTCTTTTACATAAAACCTGCCGCTGACTTGTTCCTAATGATCCAATTTGGAGAAAAGGAGTTGAAGGAAGATGGGGAAAGGGAGTATGGCTTGGGTTGGGACTCAAACCCTAGTCAGGATTAAAAGGTATGCATTTTCCTGAAATATGAAATATTGAATCTTAGGATGATTTGAATATTTATCAGGCACTCATCCAGTTTTACCGTATACCAAACTTTTTTTTTTTTTTTTGAGACGGAGTCTCGCTTGTCGCCCAGGCTGGAGTGCAGTGGCACGATCTCAGCTCACTGCAAGCTCCGCCTCCCGGGTTCGCGCCATTCTCCTGCCTCAGCCTCCAGAGTAGCTGGGACTACAGGTGCCGCCACCACGCCCGACTAATTTTTTGTATTTTTAGTAGAGACGGGGTTTCACCGTGTTAGCCAGGATAGTCTCGATCTCCTGACCTCATGATCCGCCCGCCTCGACCTCCCAAAGTGCTGGGATTACAGGCATGAGCCACCGCGCTCGGCCCGTATACCAAACATTGATTCAAGAGCTTTACAAGCATAAACTCACCTAACTGAAGCCTTATAATAAGGCTTAGTATAGGTATTGATTTTTTTATCCCCGTTGTGTGGGTAATAGCACTGAGGAATTAGGTAACTTGCCCAAAGTCACACCGTTGGTAAAGTGTAGCTCTGGGATTTGAATCCAGCCCACCTAGTCTGGGTCCCTGTCACCACCCTGCATTTCCCATGCCGGAGCCAGCACCTGTGAACGGTGAAGTGGCCACACACACGAGAGAGGAGCAGCTCTCAGCTGGTATCAGAAAGGAAAGAAATGGGGAGCGGTCACAGTGGCTCACACCTGTAATCCCAACATTTTGGGAGGCCGAAGCGGGTGGATCATTCGAGGTCAGTAATTTGAGACCAGCCTGGCCAACTTGGTGAAATCCCGTCTCTACAAAAATACAAAAATTAGCCAGGCGTGATGGCGGGCGCCTGTAATCCCAGCTATTTGGGAGACTGAGGCAGGAGAATCTCCTGAACTCGGAAGGCGGAGGTTGCAGAGAGCGGAGATCGCGCCATTGCGCTCCAGCCTGGGCGACAGAGCGAGACTCCGTCTCCAAAGAAAAAAAAAAGGAAAAAGGAAAGAAAGAAATGCGATTTGAACTGTACACCGAAGAATACATTTTAGTTAACTATTGTTTGAACTATATTATTTTTAATTACAGAAGTAACACGTAACTGCAAACAGTGCAGAGTTATATAAAAAGTTGCACCTCTCCTATTTCTCAAGTTAAACAATACTAAGGGGTAGAAACAGCCTTGCGTTCTCCCCACCATAATACAAATATATACGGGGTTTGTTTTTCTTATAAAAACAAAAGCATATTCAACAATTTCTACAATTTGTATTTTCCCTTTGGCAATATATCACTGTGTATTCACCGACTAAATGGAGATTCAGGCTATTCCTAAGAACTGAATAATACTAAGCAGAATGTTTGTCCCACAATTTGCTCAGCCTTTCCCTTACTAATGTAGAGTCAGAGAAGTTTATATCTTTAATGAAACGGCCATCCACACTGCCAGAATGGGGTCGCCAGGCGTCCCTAAGCCGCAGCAATACCAAGCCACCAGGGCCGGCGACACAAAGAAGCGCTGTCCCCCGCCAAGCGCCGCCCTCTCGAGCTCACACTCCAGCCTGGGAGGAAGTGGGGAGGAGGGGACTCCCGTGGAAACCCCTCCTCTCCTCCTGCTCCGGTCTCCTCCCCGCTCCCAAATCCCGGCTCGGTCGCCCAGTCACTGTGGTACAGGGAAGCCTCTTCCCTGTGCGACCGTCTCTACGCCAGGTTCTGCCCGCTCCCACCTGCCCCCGTGGAAATCGCAGGGTAACCTGGTGAGTGGCCCTCTCCAAAAGCCTCGCAGGCTGGAGAAGGGGCCAGCGATGGTGGACTCGGCCTGGGTGCTTGGGGAGGGTGGTGCAGGAGGCCGGGGCGGGGGTGCGGGGCGCGATCGGCGCGCTGTGGGTCTGGGTGTGCTGAAGTCGGGGACAGAGAATCCCCTTTGTGTCCGTGTTTCTGCTGGTGATTTTCCTCTGCACTCGGGCCCTGCATCCCCCTGCCGCATTGCTCCTCCCCTCCAGGTTCTGACATCTGATGTTTGTGTGTGCTTGCTTTGTGTGGTTGAGTTACCTAAGGGCCTGACCTAGAGAACTGCGTCTAATCCGCTGTTTTGTCGGATGAGAATGCCCGGAGCTTGAGCAGGGTCGCGGGTAGCTGGGACAGAGCATCGCTTGTGGCCTACTGTCCTACTGCCCTTTGATCTTTGTGAACACTGTCTTCGGGACTGAGATCTGTCCCCCACTGGCACTGGCCCCTGGAGACTGGAGTGAGCGTTCGTGTGTGTGTGTGTGTGTGTGTGTGTGTGTTTACGCGCACGGAGGAGCTCCCCTCCTCCCTGCCGGCTGCCCCCACTCCCCAGCCCTCTCCCTCCTCAGACGTCACCGTTGTGCTCTTTGCAGACTGGCTTTGGGCCTGGGAGGAAAAGAGAGTGGAGCCCCGCCAGACTCCAAGCTGAGTGCTGACAGCCCCTGGGAGTTTAGAACATCCCTTCTCACACACCGTGCATTTGATAGAACACTCCCTGAGGCACGCAGATCCACAGCTGGGGGGAGGCAGCACCCACATTTAAAAAGGTAATAATACCCAGGTCTTCTCAATCCTGGGCTTATGCTCCTCAATTATGTCATCCTCTTGAGTGACCTGGGAGGGAAGTGAGCGAATAGGAGTGAAAGCAGAGCCTCCGGGGAACTCGAGAATTAAGTAGGCAGTTTGGTAAGGTAGAAATAGAGGCCGGGCGCGGTGGCTCAAGCCTGTAATCCCAGCACTTTGGGAGGCCGAGACGGGCGGATCACAAGGTCAGGAGATCGAGACCATCCTGGCTAACATGGTGAAACCCCGTCTCTACTAAAAAAGTACAAAAAACTAGCCGGGCGAGGTGGCGGACGCCTGTAGTCCCAGCTACTCGGGAGGCTGAGGCAGGAGAATGGCGTGAACCCGGGAGGTGGAGCTTGCAGTGAGCTGAGATCCGGCCACTGCACTCCAGCTTGGGTGACAGAGCGAGACTCCGTCTCAAAAAAAAAGAAAGAAAGAAATAGAGGACTAGAAGAAGCAAAGACCCCAACCCTGCTTACTCCTATGGGGATAGTGGAGGGGCTGAATGGGGAGGATCACAGAAGGGGTTTCAAAGATGGTGGTAAAAGTCTATTTTTTAAGCTGAATGGTAGGTATATGAGAGTTTAATTTTTCAGATTGTTTTATTGTTATTTTACCATCTATTTCCCTCCACATGTATTATATACTCTTACAGATGTATGAATTAAACAATCTTAAGTGAAAAATAAGACTGAGCTGGGAATGTCTAGGACAGAATTCAAAAGAAGGAGTTGAACTAGCCCAATATCTTGGAAAATATACTGGATGTAGAAAGAAAAAGAAACAGAAGGTTCATGAGAAAAAAAAAAAAAAACAGCACGAAGGAGAGAAGACCCATAGAATTGAATGTCTGTAATATAAACCAGTTTTCAAGGTCAGATTAGCCATTTGCTGAAAAAATGATCCTGGGTTTACCCTTATACCCTCATCTGTCATGTAATCATCCAGACATGGAATATCTATTCATCCAAAGAATACAATGTATACTCTGGCCTCACACACTTACTCTAGGTTCAGGATTTGAAATCACTGCCATACGGGATATGGGTGGAGCAGCATCCAGCAGGGCCCTCCATCCACCTGCCCTTCCACACATTTCTCAAAGCGAAACCAGGTTTACGAGCCATGGCGCTGCTCTGTGGTAGGAGTGGAAGCTCTGCTCTCTCCCTGAGTTACAGGTTGTGCCTTTAATACCTTCTGCTTTGGCGGTGGCTTTGTTTCCAGCAAGCTAAAAGGGGCCAGAGGTGGGCCCAGGAGAAAGCAAGCAGGAACCATGGGAGGGGTTAGGGAGAGAAATAAAAGGACATTTCTTCCAGGTTTTATTCATTTGAGCTTACCAAGATTGGAGGACAAATATGGATTCGGGCATAAAGAGGGGGCATTTGGTTCAAAAATCAAGTGATGAAGTCACTGATAGCTGGTTAAAGTGGGGACACAACCAGCTGCAGAGTTCAAGGGACCCCCGTAGAGGAGGAAATCAAATTCATAGGTGGGCAGATGCACAACCCAATCAGAGATGAAGGAAGACCTTTTAGGTCCAGTGAGCCAGGATCAGTTGATCAGTCTACCTCATCATGTAAAAACTGTATCTAATATTTTAATGTGTGTTTACATGCTTTGACTAAATTTGTATTAACTCGGTGTTGTTTCTCATTGTAGTAGCAATACAATTTAAAGGATGCAGATTTGTATAAAGGCAGAGAGAATGGTTCACCTCTCTTCCTAATGTAATCAATGTGATTATGTTGAAATGTGGCCTCCATAGATTTTCAATGCCTATAAAGCCTGGTATGTAACAGATACTTTTGTATTCCTGGTGCTTGAGAGTATGGACTCCAGCACTGGGTTTCCTGGATTTGAATCCTAGATCCACCACCACTTACCACCTGTGTGATTTTGAGCAAATAACTAATTCTCTGGGCATTATGATTTTGGAGTTTTTGTTTTGCCCATCCATAAAATGGGGATAGTGATAGTAAATACCTCATAGGTTTATTGTCAGCATTAAGTAAGTTACAGAAATCACGTGTAGTAATGCCAGGAACCTGGTAAGCATTGTGTTGTTACTACTACTAATAATAATTATAGTACTGCTACTAATTACTACTACTACTATTATTATCTTTGCCCGTACAAAAATGACTTCATGTTCTGCATATCATAGTGACTTGAAATTTTCACTTAAAATGTATCTAGGACATTCTTCTAGGTGGATGTAAAATGTATTCAACTCATCCTTGAACCAGCTCAGAAAACAACTAGTGAGACAGATATGTGAGGTCTCTGTTCTGGTTGTACTTGTGCCAGCACTAGAGGCAGCAGAGGCTGAGGGAGAAGGGTTCTAATGGGCAACTCTTTAGGGGGTGTGTATGGGTAGATGACTGGGGGCAGTGCTACAGGGTCTTATGCTGTGTACAATGGGGTATCTGGGGGCTATGTGAAAGCTGGATAGGTGTGGGTTTGGGTTAGAGATGCTGCACCCACAAGAATCAAAAATGGTTCTAGGAAACATTCTTTGTCATTAGTCTATCTATCTGTACTTCTAGGTTTTCATTTATCTCCATTTGTAATTTGGTGTAGCAGTAAGCATCCCTGTACATATATCTTTGATACTGTCCTTATTTCTGTAAGAAGGGTTATTAGAAGAAGGGTTGTTGGGTCTAAATATAGGCACACCTTTGAAGCCAAGTAGGCACCATAAAATTGTTTTTGAAAAAGAGTGCAGACATTCTCCATCATTCCTGCAGATTGTGATGGTCTTTCAGTATTGAACATTATTAGCCTTTCAAATATTAAACCTTATTAGCCACCTTTGTCATCTTCATCTTCATTTTCTTCCCCTTCTCCTCCACTTTCTCCTAGAAAGGACTATTGTCTTTTTTGACAATATTATGAGCAACACACAATATATTTTCCATTACTTGACTACTAGTGAGATTGAGCATCTTTTCCACAGAAGTGGCCATTTAAATTTTCTTTTCTGTGCCATATCTGCTCTTGGAAGGATAGTATTTCCATAGATAGAAAGATTTGGGAGAGGGAACGGAATGGAAAGAGAATGGGAAGATCATCTAAAATGAAAGCAGGGCATGTCCAGGGGCACCTGGCGACTGGATGCTGCAGGGAGACAGGCAGCAGGAGAAAAGGCAGGAGAAGCCAGGGGGTGGCCAGCTCTGCAGGCAGTCCACACCGGAAGGCAGTAGATTGTCCCTAGAGACTAAGATGGAGCTTTGAGAGTAAATGACATGGTTAGAGTGGTTTTAGAAAAGTAAAGGGTGGGAACAGGTCCTGGTAACTTTGAAATTGGGTCAGTTGAGTCCAGGCATGAATTACTAAGGACCTAAACTAGGTTAATGGCAGTGTGATTGGAAACCATGAACAAGGACATTGATAAGACTTGTGACCAGCTGGATATGGGAGCAGCAGGGAGAAGGGACATACGGTGATACTGTGCGCTTTGCTGTCCTGATTATTTATGAGCACCAGGAGGAGCAGGGAAGAGACAAGCTTCTTGCTTACCAAATGTTCATGTCAGTATCTTCTCAATAGTTCCCTGAGATAGGTAGGTTATTAATGCTTCTGTTTAACTACTAGAAACATTGAGCTTATGTAATTTGCCTTAAAAGAGATCCCTTAGAGGGAAATTAATAAATTTAAGACTTTTTTAGTTTGGAGACTGGCTATAAATGGCTAGTGGGGTGTTGAACTCGTTACCTCAAGACTGGGGCTATTTTATCCTGGCTTGCGGAAGGCACATAGAGATACATGAGAAATGAATGTAATAGTAGTTAGCATTAGTGTTAGTATTAATATTGGTAACAAAATATGAAAACTATTAAATCAGAATCAGTACATGCTCAATTCAGTGCTTATAAAACCTATGTTAGGTTAAATTCTTTTTCCACTTTGCAAGAATTCTTTATTACTCACATACTTAAATGGTTTATTCTTAACCAAATAATTATAAGCATATATGAGTATGCATATATAAATAATTGAATACTTATGAAAAGGCATTTAACCTATGTTATTTCCTTTAATCCTCAGGACAAGCTTATATGGCAGATATTATAATTCCTATTTAATTAACAAGGAAACTAAATCTGAGATGTGTTGTCTGAGTCTCACAATTATTAAGTAGCAGAGCTGAAATTCAAACTCAGACTGCCATAAGTCCAGAGCCCAAGTTTATAATCATGTTGCATATTATGTTGAGAGTGAGCATGTTATCTGACAAGGGAAATAGACAAGTGGTAAGGGCCAAAGATTAAAATGTAAGGACTATCTGCATATTCCAAGAGGAGGTCAGAAAAGGACAGAAAGTAAGTGGTTCTAGAGGTTGGATACAAAGAGGTTACCTCGGGCCATACTGACAGAGGTGGTTCAGCCTCATGGACTGGGAGAGCAGTGATGTCCTGTGCTGCTGAGTAGTCACTGAAGATGAGACACCCTGCATGACCTGACCATGAAAACACATCTGTCCTTGGAGGAAGTGTTTCAGTACAGCGCTTGTAGCAGAGGTCAGACCATAGAGCATCGTTAGTGGGGATCTCATTGTGAAGAGGCAGAGGATATTTGTGAGTTCACCTCCACACTGTTGTCAGCTGCATCCCAGGTGCAATTAGGATTCTGCAATAATTTCATATCTTGTTACCTTCTGCTCCTGGTGGTAGGAGACTTGCATTTAAACCACAGAGGACTTCCACTTTCCTCCTACCTAGCCTGTGACTTTGACCAAAGAACCTTCTCTGAAAGCCCGGGCATTTCACATGGAAGTTCTGAGTAATCTGATTAGTGTGGGAGCCAAGAGGGATGGAATGGGCTGGGAGCACAACATGCCGCTCCACTCTATGAATTCCCAGCAGCTGCTGAAGCAAATGACCACAAATGGGGTGGCTTAAAATAACAGGAAGACGACATTTCACAGTTCTGAAGGCTTAGAAGTTTGAAATCCAGGTGTCAGCAGTGTGGAGATTCTGAGGCAGAATCTGTTCCATGCCTCTCTCTTAGCTCCTGGTGTTTGCCGGCAATTCTTGGTCTTCCTTGGCTTGTAGACTCATCACTCCAATCTCTGCCCCCATTTTCTGATAGCATTCTCCCCTGTGTTTCCAAATGTCCTCTTACGAGGATATCAGTCATTAGACTACGACCCATTTGAATCACCTATGACCTCATCTTAGCTTCATTACATCTATGAAAACCTCTTTCCAAATAAGTCCTATGGGTTAGGATTTCAAATGTCTCTTTGGGGGACACAATTCCATGCTCATTCCTTCCTTCTGTTTGTTTCCGTCTGTGATGGAAAAGTATCAAGCTAAGTTTGACCACAGAGTTTAAGAGGAGAGGGCCCAGTGGGGTCTCCTGGACTTCAGTCACTAACACCGAGTGCTTGAATCATTTCCCAGTGTCAACCTCATCTGCATAGTGGGAAGAATCGCCCAGCTACTGGAAGAGTGAACTGCTCTATTTGTTTCTTTGTTTATCCATTGTTCGCCAAGCTGAGCCTTTGCTTTCTTCTCTGCAGAAACCAACAGAGCCATGGCAACTCCTTCTGCTGCCTTCGAGGCCCTTATGAATGGCGTGACAAGCTGGGATGTACCCGAAGATGCCGTTCCATGTGAACTGCTTCTTATTGGAGAGGCTTCATTTCCTGTGATGGTGAATGACATGGGCCAGGTCCTCATTGCTGCCTCCTCCTATGGCCGCGGCCGCCTGGTGGTCATGTCCCATGAGGACTACCTGGTGGAAGCCCAGCTCACACCCTTTCTCCTGAACGCAGTGGGGTGGCTTTGCTCTTCCCCTGGGGCTCCCATTGGTGTACACCCATCCCTGGCACCTTTGGCCAAAATCCTCGAGGGCTCTGGAATGGATGCAAAGGTTGAGCCAGAAGTGAAAGACTCCCTGGGGGTTTACTGTATTGACGCCTACAATGAAACCATGACGGAAAAACTGGTCAAGTTCATGAAACGTGGTGGCGGCTTGCTCATAGGAGGACAAGCCTGGGACTGGGCAAACCAGGGTGATGATGAAAGGGTTCTCTTCACATTCCCTGGGAACCTCGTGACCAGTGTGGCTGGCATTTACTTTACTGACAACAAAGGGGACACGAGTTTCTTTAAAGTCTCCAAGAAGATGCCCAAGATCCCAGTGTTGGTTAGGTGAGTACCTTACCCCCACTCGGGAGTTGGCTCCAGGGTTAAAAAGCAGACCCGGGTCTTAGCTTCAGGTTGCTCCAAGGCTAACGGAAGAGTGCTCCCCAACACTCAGTTATGGAATCACTACATATCAACTAGATTTTTTAAATGCCCCGAGGCATAGGAGGGGCAAGGTCCTCACTGCCCCTGTCTTCCCAGACCAAACCATTTAGCTCTTTGATAGTTGGAACTTAGTGATGGCTATGGTCCCAGTGTCTTGCATAATCAAAACTGTGCTGTTGACCCCAACAGTTGGCGTAGTTAATCCACATGGTTTATAGGAGAGGTTGCTTTCAACAGGAATGTGAAGAAAAGGAAAACAGGCATGAAGGACCCCATGAACCAAAGCCTAGAGAGGTGTGGGAAAGGTTTTAAAATGTCCTTCCAGGTGAGGTTAGGATGTGATAGGAAGTAGAAGCCTTCAGAAGTTAAGATATCAGAAAAGATGGTCCAAGTTACATGTGCTAAATCTAGGATTTAGGAGGGGCAAAAGATTGATGATCAGTAATGAAGGAGTCAGGTGATGGGTACAGGACAGCCTGCACGGGAAGTTATTGGAGTGTACTGCCCTGTCTGCTTTGCTCTCACTGCACTCCAGCACCACAGATAGTGCCTAACAGATAGCAGGTCAGTAGGTGCTCAGTAAACATCTCTTACATGCATGACTGCATGAATGAATGAGAGGGATTAGAAGCTGGATTAGTCCCAGGAGCAGAAAAAGTACATTAGGTCACTCTCTATATTCTATATTAGCATTCTCAGCATCCTCAGAACAAACAACACTGATATTTCTGACTGATGGGAATGGAGCAAGGAAGGATTGGGTGAGGAAGACACACTAAGGGTACCACGAAGGTGTGGGAAATGAGCTATGACTTCTCCTTGGCATGGTACTTTTAGGGAAGTTTTAGGAAGATCAACCAGAATAGTTAGTCTACTCTGGTTTTGGACAAAAAGATGACTCGTATCATTTTAGCCCAAATATTGGGCTTCTGCAAAGGAGTTCAAACTCTGTTCATTCATCCATTTATTTAGCCAGAGTTTATTGAATAGATTATATATCCCAGGCATTATTTCTTATTTCAAGAACCTGATTTGCAAAGATCTGAGAATTAGGGGTGCAGGAACATCTCCAGTTATAAGACTTGGAAACAAAAGTTGAAAACCAAGTAACTGTTGTAGGAAGAGGGCTATGCTGTCATTGTTCATAAACCCTGGAAACCTGGATCTAATCTACAACCAACAATTGCACAGTGTGACCTTAGCATGTCCTTTCAATTCTCTTTTTCTCTCTAAAGGAAAGTGTTGGCATAGAAGCTCCTACTGTCCCTTGTAGCTATTATTCCATTTTTCAATCTACAGTGATCTCCGTATGTTCACAAAGTCATCAGAGATGCATAGAAAAGAACGCCGTGCAAATGGTCATACTCTAAATGCCCAAATGCTCCAATAAATTTGGTTTGAAAATACCCCTACGAAACCTGAATTGACCAACCTTATAAATTAATGCTATCCATGCCCCCTTCAGTTTGAAAAATAGTGAAGGGATATTAGACACACAAGAGACTTGGTTGTAAGTTTATTTATAATAAGCATCTTGCGCAGCCTTGGAGATCACTGCTGGTTATTGCTGGTTATATGTTAGGCATATATAGAATCCTAATTAGAGGTTTTAGGTCAGAATCAATGCTCAAGCATGGTGGAGTGAATGTATTTACCTAACTCATGCTTTGTACTTCTTACTATTTTCTTAGCCATATATACTAAAGTTGTTTTAACTGGTTTTCACAAAATAGAACTTTTTAGAGAGTGAGCACAAGTGGCAAAATATGCTATTTTATACGAGAGATTGCCTCATCACAATTGTTTTCTTTTCCTTTTAATGAACAATTTTTCCTTTTTAATTTTAAAATATGTGCTTCTTGGGAAAAAAGTAAAATAATTCAGAAGCATACAAAGTAAAAAGTGAAAGAACTTTGTTCTCCACCTCATCCTCTGCCTCTTGCTAATTCTTTTCTTCCCCCCTTCCCAAGAAATGATCACTGCTAATGGTTTGGACGGTATCTTTTCTGATGTTTTTCCTCCATTTATGTATTGGGGTTAGAGTTGGGAGAGCTGGACTGGTAGAAAGAGAGACAGAGAAAAAGAGAGAGATCTGCAACTTGCTCTTTCATTTACTATATCCTGAGCATTTTTTCATATCCCTATAAGAAGATGGGCATCATCCTTTTGAAAACCATCTTGCATTCATTTGGATTGTCCTGAAATTCATTTAACCATTTGCCTATTAGCACATTAATGTTATTTCTAGTTTTTTCTTATAAATAAGAATACATTGACCATCTTTTCACTACAATCCCTAAGCTTGACGTACCCCTTTTCATTTTAAAGACTTGGCAATTTCCTTTTAGAAACATCTAATTTTGGAAATTTTTAAATACATAACAGAAATAGAAATAGAACAATGAGCACATGTACTCATCACCCAGGTGATGGTATCAAATCACACCCCACCCACTCCTTCACCTTTCCCATTTGTTTTGAAGCCAGTCTCCAACAGTGTATCGTTTTACCCATAAAACAGTATATCTCCAAAAGATAAAGACAAATTTTTAAATATAGTCACAATACTGTTAGCCCATTTTTAAAATTATCACTATTTTTCTGTCCTAACAAAATGTCAATAACCATATCATTTTCAAAAGGATTCCATAAGTGTCATCTGTTATGTATGTATGTCTGTACTTACTCTTTAAATCAACTGATTATATAATCAGTTAAGTCATGGAAATATAAATAATATATTTATATTATATATTGATCTAAAGGATAAGTATAGAGATATGTATATCACAATTGTTTCATACTCTCAATGTGATTTTAGAATTGAATTTGGCTTTTGCTTTATATATTTCAAAGCTATATTTTACATTTATAAAAACTCATGACTTTTTATGGCTCATACATTTTTGTCATCTAAAATATTATTTCTTGCATTTAGTATTTTTCACCTTACACTCTATTTTGTCTAATATAATTATGACTCCTACTTTGTTTTATTTGTTGATCTTTTTATTCTTTCTTCTGTTTTTAAAGATATATCTCTTAGTACAAATCTGATTTTTTAACCCAATTAAGAGTTAAAAATGTATATAATTAAGGACATTGATGTTTTTCTTCTAGTTCCATCATCTTATTTGATGTTCTTTGTTAAACATCCTCGTTGCTTCTTTTAAGATTTTCCTTTGATGCCTTTAGCTTGATTGGAGTTTCTTTTCCCCTTCTCTCTGTTTGGAAATTATACACAATTTTTGTATCATTATTGTAGCTACCTTTAATTTTTCCCAGCTCTTTCTTTTAAATTTTTCACACTTAAGGAAAAGTCAGAATAACATAATAATCACCACACCCTTTACCTAGATTCACCAGTGGTTACATTTTGTCACATATACTGCATAAGTATACATAGGAAGAGATTATTTGGCCTAGCCATTTGAGAGTAACCTACAGATCTCAAGAATGAAGGAGGCAGGTGATAGGTATGACACATCATACCTGACTACTTCAGCCTGTAGCTCCTAACAAGGACATTCTCCCATATAACCACAATACAGTTATCTCGCTCAAAACATGTAACATTGATAGAATGCTGTTATCTAATGTCCATCTTCAAATGTCTCTAATTGTTCCGAAAATATCCCTTATTTTAGATTTTTAAAAATATAGGATTTAATCAAGTTTCTGTATCATGTTTCTTTAGTCTCCTTTAATCAAAATAGTTCCCTAGCTTTTTAAAAATCTTCCAGGACATTAGTATTTTTGAAGTCTGCTGTTCAGTTGTTTTATGGAATACCCTTCAGTTTGGCTTTGCCTAATTGTTTTTTTTTTCCCATGATTACACTCAGTTCACACATTTTTGGCGAGAAAATAATTTATGTAGCTTTCATCACAGTGTCACAAATTAAAGGCGCATGAGCTCAGTTTGTCCAATTATTGGTGATGTTCAAATTGGTCATTTAATTAAATTGGAGTTTGCCAGATTTTCCTATTTTACTGATTTTATTTATTGTATTTTATTTCTATTTATTTTATTCCTTTCCCCCTTTTTTAAAAAAACTAATTTAGTGTGTGGTGTGACAATTTGAGATCTGTATGAATATCCTGTTTGCCAACAACCTTTCACCCAGTGGTTTTAGCTTTCATTGGTGATCTGTGCCTGAGTAAATATTTATGAAAGTGGCTACTTCTACCACTTCTGAACCTTTCTTCAAAATTCATCTCAGGTATCACATCTTTAGAAAGCTGTCCCTTACTCCTCTCCTCTCATTCTGATATAGATGAGTCTTTTGTGCTCCTATATTAACCTAATATCTTAGCACTTACCTCAGGCTACGTGTTGGTTTACTTGTAAATTTCTCCAAGAACTGATTGACATCCTTTGGTAAATAAGACCTTTGCCTCCCCACCTTCACATTTACTGTTAGGTTTGTTCTTTTTAAATGTTTGTTTTAGTATCACTCTATACTCATGGATCCTTTTCTTTTAAGATCGAATTTTTTTACAATCCATTTATAGTCAGTATTTTTTAAAGGTCAAGTTGTCTCAAATTTGGCAAGTTAAAGCCTCATTAAGCTGTCTCCTGGGCCCATCAGTTTTTTTTTTTTTTAGTATTTACTTAATTTCTGACATAAAACGATGTTGCAAGTTTATGTTGTACTTTTCTGGTTCAAAACCTGGATTCAGCCATTTCCTCAAGGAATGCTAGTTCCTTTTAGTGGTGAATGGTATTTAGAAACCAAGATCTAAAGCATGCTCACTGCTATGGTGTCATCATTTCTGGGTTCCTCAGAAGAGACAGCCATGGTATCTTTTAATCATACATTCATACTGATACCCCCAATTTTAATTCAAAACCACAGGATTCTTCTTCTCTTTCACTCATTCCATATTAGTATTCTTCTGCC